ACCAAGATTTAACTGTAATAGTTTAAGAAATTAGCTGCTTCCTAGAAGAATGCACATTTATCTCTGTTACTATAGATTTTTGGTCTGTAGTAGTGGGCATTGAATCCAGAAACTGTACTGAGCTTTATCCCCAGTGGCTTTTGTTTTTTGAGAGTGGGTCTCACTAAGTTGCTCAGGCTGGGTTTGAATTTGTGAGCCTCCTGCCTAAGCCTCCTGCATAGCTTGGATTACAGGTGTGTACTATCATGCTTGGCTACTGTAGAATTCTTGAAATTCTAAGATTGCAAGGATATAACAGGTGTAAGAAAATACTTGTTTTCCTTTCATTTCTGAACATGGTCACATTAACTTAGCTCCTTACAAACTGAGGTAGGAAGATCGCTGTTTGAGGCACAGCACTAGAGTACCTTGCCTAGCCTGTGCAAGTCCCTGAGTTCAAAACCCAGCACAGGAAGAAAAAAAAGCCAGGTTAGAGACTGGCCAGGAACTTTAAAAAACTTCCATAACTATCATTATTTTCCCCAAATAGTAGTTTCAAGTTGTTTTTGAGAGAGGATCTTGCTAGGTTGGCTTTGAACTCGGTATGTAGCTCAAGCCAGCCTCAAATTCACAATCTTCCTGGCTCGGCCTCTGGAGCACTAGGATTACAGGCAGGCATCACCATACCTTTTCTATTTCTTTTGCTTTTTGAGGCAGGCTCTCACTGTGTAGCCCAGGCTGGCCTCTAATTCTCAGGGATCCTCCTGCCTCAGCCCTGGAGTTACAGGCCTGTGTCATCACATCCAGCTAGGTTTTGAGTTTTTAAAAGCTTAGCCAATAAGAAACCAATTCAAGAACATTTTGCCAGGTGTTATGGCATATGCTTTTAATCCAAAATGCTGGCGAAGCTGAGGTTGGAGAACCAAAAGTCCAAACCCTACATGGGGAGCATAGCAAGTAGTGAAAGCCCCTACTCAAAAAGTAAAAGAAAAAATGAAAATTGAACAACAGCTCCATTCTTGAAGGTCCTAGTTTCATGACCCATTGTTTACTACCTCTGATTAATGATCATCACCTTTACACATATGCTTCCCATGAAACAATTGAGGTTTCTGACTACATTCGCAACTCAGGATTTCCTGTGAGTACTGGTTCTGCTCTCAGGCTGTGGAGAACAGAAGCTGTTTGACCTAGAGAGTCCTTTACTATTTACTGTTGCCTCAGGTTTATCTTTATCTGAACTCTGGAAACTACAAGCACAGAAACTGGCAAGAA